CTGCAAACATTATGAGCACTCAGAAACACAGTTAATAAGAGGAGATAATATTATAAGATGTGTACAAATATTCTAACATTGAGCCTTGGCTCCAAAACAGAGACAGGCTGCTAAAGTCCACGTGAGCCCAGCAACTGTGAGGAGGACCGTCAAGGTCCGGTGCCACGTCTCTGCTGATTCTTGGCGGCACAGACTATGAAAATGAACTGTCATGGTTGTTTTATTTTTACAAAATATTTATCACTAAAATGTGCCTTGTGTCTTTAGTTTCCCATCAGGGGCCGAGTCAGCGCAAACTGTACAACGATCTGATGTCTGGGTACAACCCGCTGGAGAGACCGGTCTTCAACGATTCTCAGAGTCTCAGTGTTTTCTTTGGACTCAGCCTCATGCAGATCATGGATGTGGTGAGTACACTATCACCTACTGGCAGTTTGGAGAACTATTATCACTGAGTTTATCTCAAAGCATGTAGAATCATTTCTGTTGTAGAAGCTTGTTTTGGGTAACCAGTAAAAACAAGATGTCATCATATCGAATAAGTCTCAAAGTGGTCAGTGGAAAAACAGGCAGATACAGTATAGTGGTTTGATTAAAATGTTTGCAATAATTTCATTTTGTCCAAATATAGCAATCCAATGCCTTATCAGTGTATCATTTAAATAAATTGTCTAAAATGTTATCTTATTTTTTAAGCCCTTTTGTGATTTTGTGCAAAAACGCCTTAAATTTTTTACTTTTTCCCTGTGAGCTAGCAAAGCTTTTGTTTCATTCCATCTGGAAAATCTGCATATCGAAATACTTTTTGAGGTTTCTTCTTTGTGATGACATCAAAAATTCCTCAATAAAAATACATGGAAATAGAATTCAGACCAAATGTAGCTTAAACAAGAATCTGAAAATGTACCGAGGTCATTTTGACCAAATTTGACTAAATCTTCAGTTTGATGTGATGGGTCACATGTAGCAAGTCTTCCATTAATAATGAATGCATTCACAGGTTTTTGGATAGTTAAAATCTGTATTTAAAAGTTAAAATGTACCTACTGCTAAATGTATGAACCTGTAAGGTTCATGCTTTTAAAAAAGAAGAAAAACATTATGAAATGTAATTAAATTAATGGTAATATTAACACTTGGTTTCTGCTTCATTTAATTTAAAATAATAGGGAAAAGTGACAGTAACAACTGTAACATAACTTTTAAATAAAAATGTATATATATTTTTTTTCTTTCAGGATGAGAAGAACCAGGTTTTAACAACCAACATTTGGCTACAGCTGGTGAGACAATTTCCTATGCAGTTAAGATTGGTTCAATAAAAATGATTCTATTTTACAGTCTCATCAATATATTTTTGTATATTTTTATTCTGCTATTTATCACACGCTGCAGGATCTTTCKGAATGCAGGCCACACTAGCTGGTTATTTGCAGGATCATTATTTTAATCTCCTGTCTTTAATGTTTGCAGCAGCAAGTCTGAATGAAGTTACATCACCGCCTTTAAAAATGGCATCTTTTAGACTTTAACATTCAAACAATTAGTCAGTATCTAAGTTATCTATTTGTTTAAATGTGTGTTTCAGTTACAGCAGTGACCAATCTTTTTTTCATCATAAAACCGTTATTTTGTCGTCACGTGGGACAAAAAGAACGCAGATGCTTTATTGCAGCTTGTCTGTTTTCTGACACCAGTTCCCTGCTGCTGCACCGTCAGCAGACTCTACCCAGGCTGTTTTAAATCACCCTGTGGAGTCAAACACACCCAAACACACACACATATTACAGGGAAACCCACTCAGACGACATCCACTAGATCAACGAGCGGCGGACGTTGATTTAATTTTCATTGGCTCAGTGAGAATTCCAAGAAAAGAAGTTCGAATGTCCTAAAGACGCACTTGATGCCAAACCTCGACAGGAACTATTGAAAATAATTGTATGAGCTCTCATGTTTGATCATTTTGGATGAAAAACTTCAGAGTGAATGGTCCATTAATGCTCTGGGAGTTGTGGCATTTAGAATAAATCTGACTTTAGTTCTTTTGGGTACAAGCAGCTCTCTATTCTCTAAAGTTTGTAAATAAGGCCGGGGGTTTTCAACGTATCCAAGAAAAGGCTGTTTGTTCAAAATGTTAATGGCACAACTGAGTCCTCTTTAACCCAATGTGTTTTATTCATCAGAAACTGATCTTCACATTGGTAAAAAGATTAAACATAACAATTTGAAAATAATKGAAGGTGAGTTAAAGGTTTTACTTAGAAAATTATTTGAAAACGCTATTTAAAACTTAGCACAAAAAGTAAGGACTTTTGCGTTTGATAGATTATTTCTTTGTTTTAACAATGCTTCTTGGCAATAAATCTTAAACCGCTGGAAATCCTGTTCATTTTCCTTTTAAATGATGCCACATTTGCAAGGAACGTRCATCTGTGGAACGAGCAGTAGAGCTGAGTGTGTGGGTTGTGCACATGAAAAATTTGGGAAATCTTCTCTGACAAACAGCTTATCCTGCTGTTGTTATTAACTCTTGTTTTGAGTTTCTGGTACCTCCAGATGCTGCCAATCAGGTGCCCCATATAAGATTTATGGCCAAGAAGCATTGTTAAAAAAAACAATCTACCAAGCATAAATTTCCTTACTTTTTGTGTTAAGTATTAATAGATCTGTGCCATTTTCACCCAATTGTATTGCCAAGTAATTGGTACACTATTTCACTAAAACAGGTAAACTATTTTACTTATTCATTTTAAATGTTTTCATTTCAAATGAAAATGAAGAAAACAGAATATTTTAAAAGTTTGAACATAAATGAGTATTGTTTTTCAGCTTGCTGCAACCTTTTCTACCAACAGTCGTGTCTCTTCAGGGTGAATCACATTTCAACTTTTCCTCTTTCTGCCACTTTTCTGTCAACATTTTAAATGTGCTGCTCAGTGTTGTATATCCTGACAGATAATATCTCATCCAGATGTGGCTAAATCTCTGTACGGAGATTAAAACTTGTTTCTTGTCGCTTGTCACCACATGAACATAAGCAGAGCAGCTGTTAGACAGGACCTGTTCCTGTTAAAGTAACTGTCAGTGCAGTGTGAGAAAATGTCCTAAATCCCAGATTTACCAAAAGAGGATCTTTGGGGAAATGCTACAGAAATATACAGTATGTATGCATGTGAAACATGAGAAAGTACATAACGATTTTACATCTCGCAGTACTGGAATGACTATTACCTTCAGTGGAATACAGCGGATTATCCAGGTGTGACCAACGTGAGATTTCCGGACCACCTCATCTGGAAACCGGACATTCTGCTCTACAACAGGTGACTGCACAGAACAATAAGACAAGGACAGTTATGTTGTGTTCAAATAAACCTCTATCATGTTTTGCCTCTGCAGAAATTATACAACTGCAATAAAGCTTTTCAACATGAACTCTCTTGAGCACACATGAGAACTTATTTACCTGAATACTTTAATGATGAAGTCCCACTTCCAGTTTGGACTTTGTTCCAAGGGCCTTCTACATATGTTTGTTCCCAGAGTTAGGACAGAGCTGCATAAAAAGAGCATTTAAATATGTCGCGCCCTCAGCTTGGAACGATTTTCAGAGGAAGTCTAAATTGACAAAGAAAGTGATGCTAAAGCACTGTTGAAAGACTGTGAAGGAGAGAGTTTTAATTGTCATTGTTATGGATAAAATGCTTTATTTCTGTTGTTGTGGTTGAATGTAAATGTTGATATTYATAATGGTACTGCTATCTTGCCAGGTCCCTCTTGAGAAAGACATTGTATACAGTATCTCAGTGAGGTTTTTATTAAATAAAGGCATCCTTCTAGCTTATTGACTTCTAAATCAAATGATTTGTCAAYRAAGTTTAAAAGATTAGTTAGTTTACATAGACAAAATATATACAAAAGTCTGGGTTTATACTTGATAAAAAAAAACCAAGTAACTTCACTAAACATGAGGTTTCTAGTCCTAGGGCTGTAATAGCTCAGTGGTTAGTGACATGGTCTCATAATCCTGAGTTTGCAGGTTTGAGCCCAGGTTGCATCAGGAAGGACATCCAGTGTAAAACGAGACAAATCTTTTGTGCATGTTTGGACTCTGTGGTGACCCCCTGAAAAATGAAGCAACCAAAACTATAACAAGGTTTTGGGTCTGAATTTCAAGCCTTTTTTATCAAGTTAAAAACCTTTTCAGTTTTTACTTTCTAACTTGAAGCTTTATAAATCTCTGTAACCCTTTCTCTGACAAATGGATGTTTTTTATTAGTTTTTTTTTTTTATTTAATTAAAATCAGATGGTGTAGTTGATTAATTTGTTTATTTTCACTCAAATGGTTGCCAAAGTTAATTGTTGCTGTGGCTGAGTCGTTTTGGTTCTGTTCTGATCTTTACATCCTCTTTGGAACTTCCTCTTTAGTTTTGTTTCTCATCAATTCATGTTTATTATATTTAATTTTTAGATTATTTCTTGTGTTTTTGTTGCTCTGTGCCATCATTCATCTCCTCTCAGTCAACAGCCTCTCTATACTGTTTCCTGCCAGCCTGACAATCTCACCTGTTAGAATGCTAGGCCTTAACACGCTCTTCTTTTTACAACTTTTTACAAACTTAAATTCAAATTTTCACTTTTTGAAATGTGCCAATTGAAACGCATCAGGCTGTGTTTGTAAATAAAGTGTCGTATTATAAAGGATGGTTACTTTTAATTTTACATTTACAGAAAAAACTAAACTGATGTATTTGATGGAGAACACATTCTCCCACAGTAGCCAGTTATCCTTTTATTTTGCTGTTTTGATCTAARATGAATTACATTTTTGAAAAGGGAGTTGTCTTCTTGATTTGTGCTTAATATTTCTTGTTATGCAATTACAAACTAATTTAAAACTGCAATACATTATAAGTGGCAGAAATCTGCCATTGATTTGATTCATCTCTCTTGCATTAAGTTCTGTAAAGATAAAGGTTAGAAGTTTTAAGAATGCTTAAGTTTTTATTGAAATTAATTTATCCAAATCTCATCATGTTCCGGTTCTTTTTTAGGGTTGCCTTTACTGTTTTCACACATTTGCACCTGAAGTTGTGTCTACAAAAAAACAAAAATACAAAAGTTGTTTTTTTCCTCCATAAAAGCTAATCACGGATGAAAAATTTTAGCAATTTTCCAGTTAAATGACCTTAGTCTGTTGGGTAAGCTCTTTTTAGACAAGAACATTGTACTTCAAGGTTAGCTGTTCAGTGGAGCTCAGATACATGCAGCTCAGTTCAGATCAGTGATCCAGAGTAATAAATCATTTACAGAAATGAATAAAACTGTATTTGACAAGATGGGAGAAAGCGCTTTTATTATACGGCCCTAATGGAAAGCGCCACAAAGTACACCATTAATCAATCTTTACAAGATCTGTAGAGACCACATGAAAAGCACTCAGGTAATAACGAATAAGGTTTTGTTCTCCATTTGTCATTGTCACAGCAAATTCTTGATTTCAGACTTTTAGCTGGTTTCTTTTTTCAACATGAGTTCAGCCCCTTGTGTCTCCACAGAMAGTTCATTTAGGGCTCATGTGTTTGGTCACGTTTTGGTTCCAGACAAAACTGTAAAAACAGTTTTATGTTGTGTGCAGTGCAGATGAGAGATTTGATGCGACCTTCCACACCAACATTTTGGTTAACTCGTCCGGCTCCTGTTCCTACCTTCCTCCAGGTAAGGATTATAATCTCTCATTGGGAATGTTAGATTTGCGATAATTAATCACTWAAACCTTCTATTTTTAGCACTTAAATTTGAATTGATTAAAGCTTGTTAACAGAAACCCTTATTTTTTAAAGCATCCCATATAGTTTTGCACTCTGCTTCCAATCCACAGTTCTAAGACTTAAAGGGCTAGATCAGTAAGACTTAAAGGGTTAGATCAGTGCACATGTGTATCTTACATATCTGTAAAAGCACCATTTCTGCTGAATGATGTACAGGTTTTAATGTAGCCTGCTGCTTTCCAAATAATTTTTTTTACTCTTCAGTACATTAAGCATTTTTTAAAAATTTAAACAGTTTATAAACACTTGGTAAAGATCTGTCACCCAAGGATGACTAAACATCTAGTAAGTTGAGAAATGAAAAAAGTGACAAAGGTTGAGTTTGTTGAGGAAATAGTGATAGGAAAATCTTACTTTGACAGGTATTTTTAAAATGTTTTATTA